CATCATGTTGATGACTTGTAGAACATCCCGACAGTTCACATGTCGGTCCCGCCAGTTGTCTTCTGTCATTCTCGACATATGACTGCAAATGTCACACAACCATGGTAATAGTGAATAAACAGCGCGACAGATAACAACAAAGGTACATAACTGCCACGTGTAATAAGGACAGGAAAAAAGTACCTAAAATAATTTGTTATAACTCAACTTGAAGCACTCCAACTATTCTCTTGTTGCAAAAAAAAAATCATCCACATCGTTCGAAAACTGCTATCACTCCATGGTGTACGACATCTTTCATTACTTTCCATGAAACACCGTGTTTGTTCCCCAATATTACTACGAAGCAAAGAGAACAATTAGACACTTTGACTCAATTATGCATACAAATATTAGAGATGCGAGAGTGTATTGTGTTATTTTCAAAAAACAACAATTGATCGGTTTGCCCCAAAACGTACACTATGATGAGCTAATATATTTAAAAATAGAATGTCTATTACCAAAATTCAAACCTGAAGAGTACATTTATCCTCTCAACTCTACGCCCATGTCTAGGACAATGCTCATGAAGTAACTTGTGTGTAACTAACATATCTCTCAATGCTATTTATAACCAACTCCAAGGAAGGAAGCAATTATGATCATTCACTACTCAACCACCAAGTCCAATCTCTAAGTAAATTTGAAAATCAATTGGTGTGATAGTTCAATAAATATCAACTTGCGGACATTAATCCCCCATTTCTTCATAAATACTAGGACATTGTGAGTCATAAATCATGTGTACAATGGCTTCTTATAGTTTCCTGCAAACCACATCTTCTCATATGCAAGTTATTGGAAGCATGGTTGTAATGCTACAATTTCCCACTTCAATGGCTCATCATCTTTATCCACGTCAAGAAAAAAATATTGGAATAGACATGAACTCATTTCTAAATTAGTTGTACCATGGTTTTCATGACTTTAAAAAGAATATTGGAATATACAATAAAAAACAGATAATTCAAGTAACCAGGGCACAAATTATCAAACAACCATGTCCACGCTACGACTAGGTTATAGAAATGTAGTGTTCAGCACAGAAACATAAATAGTTTGTAATCATGATAATTGACGTCTTTCACCACCCAAACAAATGTATTAACTGTCAAAAACCTTTTTATGTACACGATCTTGGCCCACGATCGAACATGATGTGACCATTACACGTACTGTAAAATGTTCTTATGTCTCTGGTGAGACCCATGATACCTGAAGATCGACTATTTTCAAACAGCGTTCTAAAAAGCACCTATGCAAGTAAAGGACATAACATATTGCCTTGACAATGAGTGCATCTAAGCACACTTTATTAGTTTTTTTTTTTTTTTATATCGTTAAAAAGTGAAAAATGAAAAATAAGTTAGAAAATTGAAATTCGATAAAGAGTTAGATAAGTTTTAAACTAGGACATTATCTATGTTATACGAAACTTCGAAAATATGTATGAAATTCCTATAAATCTATTATGTAAGATTTGTCCAATTAAAAGTTGAAAATACAAAAAATAATCTAATTTTTGCATTTAGAAACCCTTGAAAATTGTATAATTGACTATTTATAGAAATTATTAAGTAAATAAAGTATTTTATAATTGTAGATATTTGCTATGTATCATTTAATTATTAAATGAGTTTTAGAATGATTAAAAATTTAAATATAAGTAAATATGAGAAGATGCATTATTATTATTTTTTGCCATCTCTACATCTAATCACATTTTACTCTTTTTAGAGCACTGGTTGCAAACAAAGATATCGGTTAAGACTTGACTTTAAATCCTAGTGGGCCCGTTGGTCTGAAACTGTGGGCCCAAGCCCATATCCAGGACTTACATAGATGTTAGTGGAAATTACTCCACACCCTACTATAAAAATTCAGAATTCTAAAATCAGATTTGATGTTTCATTGTTCAAAAATCGAATGTTTTATTAATTAATTAATATACCCTATTTCAATCCAAACCCTAATTCATTTCCCCCAAACCTATTATCTCTCTCGTTTCTCACTAGAGGTGTCAACGAGCCGAGCCAAAACTCTAGATTCATTTGCTCGGCCAAAAAATTAAGGCTCGATCCGAACTTTTGACTTGAGCCTTACCGGGCCGAGCTGAGCCGGCTCATATATATATAATTTTATTTTTTTTATTCCCTTCTTAGTTGCCTCTTTGACTGCTAAAATAGCTATCAAACAGGTAGCAGAATTTAACTGCCAACAAGCAACAGAATCTGCTACCTGTTTGGTAGCCAAAATAGGCAGCTTATAGTTGCCAACAAACAGAAAATAGCTACCAAATAGGCATTAGATTTATAACCTAATTTTTTTATAACGGGCTAGTCAAGCCACACGAGCCAGGCCGACTCGGGTTTTTTCGGGTCGAGTCACGAGCGGACCAAGATGGAGAGCCTGATTGCCATTCCTATTTCTCACTCTTGCCCCCTTTTTTCCTCTAGGAAACAACCACCATTTATTGTAGTTGGAAACAAACATGGACCGTCATTATCGTCGGAAACCACCACTTTTTTGTCATCCCTCACACATGGACCGCCATCGTTGGAAACCACCACTCTTCTACTCATAGCAGCGACTACGCAGCAGTGCCGGACAAGTTGTTCTAGACACTGTGCAGTGCAGAGAAGCTGCGCAGCGGCACTTTTCAAATCGTCGATGTGCATGGCTAATCTAAGCGTCACAACTGTGATTTGAGATTGTGAGATGGCTAGACAGTGGTGTGGTGGTGATTTTGAGATCGTCGCAACGATTATTTTGAGATTGTGAGATGACTAAACAATGGTGTGTTGGTGATTTTGAGATTGTAAAATTAATAGTGGTGATTTCAATATTCGGGTGACGGTGACCATAGCGATGGCGGCGGTGATGGTAGTGGCTGTGGTGTTGGTGATATTCTCTGTGGTGGTGGATGTGGGAATAGCTCAGGCTATTGCACTTGGTTTTTAGCTGTGGTGATTTTTTTATTTTTTATTATTATTATTATTTTTTTGTGATGTTTGGGTGGCGATGGGTGTGTCGAAGTAGTGGTGGATCTGACGTGAGAATGTGGTGGTGTTTTCCTGTGATTAGGGGTGGGCATGGGTTGGGTCAATTTTTTCCCCAACCCAACCCAATATGGTTGATTTTATTTAAAGTCAACCCAACCCAACCCAATTAATGGTTTAAACCCAACCCAACCGGATCAAGTTTGGGTTGATTTGGTCGGTTTGGGCTTCGATCCAATTAAAGTTGGATTCGATTATATTTTTGTTAAATTTAGATAAATTTTTAAAATTTGAAATTACTTAAAAATCTCTGATTTTTTTTTTTTTTTTTGGTTTTTAAATACCTATGTAAGTGATGAGTGAATTTCACTCATTGATTTAATGCTTCTTAAGCTTGAAATATTGGTTGTTTTCGAGAAATTTAGAACGTTTTGATGCGGGTATTTGTGCTGTTTTATAGGTGAACCAATTTGGTGAAATGTTGAGTTTGAAGGGTAGAAAAGAGTCAAATTTACATAGAGGTGAATGGACAAGAAGAAGCATCGAGATACACGTGAAAGACGATGGAAGAAAGAAGGAAGAAAACCAACAAAAAAAATTTGCCACAGCACCTAGGCGCCACAAAGCAGCGCCCAGGTGCTGCACACGCTGAAACGAGATAGAAACTCAGCGCCTAGGCGCCACTTTTGTAGCGCCCAGGCGCTGCATTCCGAGAAAGGAAAAAACACGATTTTTGGAAATATTTTCGATCCGGCCCAACTCCAACTCGTAATGCAAATTAAGGGGACTATAAATACATATTTATAGACCTAATTGAAGGGTTGAACAGCTGAAGAAGGAGAGGCAAAGAGATACACGAATTGAGAGAAGAATCACCGGATTCGGAGAAGGAATCAAGCAGCAAACTGAGTTTTTCTTATCTTTTCCTTCTTCATGCGATTTAATTTGTATTTTATTGTGTTCTTCTTCTCAATCATGAACTAATTTATTAAATCTAGGGTTTGATGTAACCTATTTGAGACATGATTTAATTTCTTTATAGTATTTCCATTTAATTTTTCAGAATTGATTTGTATTGTTCTTGCTTAATGCTTTCAGTTGCTTGATCACCAATTGAATGAATTGATGTTCTAAATTTAACGCTCGAGAGAGGAAAATTTAGATGTGATTTAAGAACAATATAACCTAGATTTGTAGGTTTTAAGAGAAAGTGCGATTCTTTGAGGGTAAAACAAGAACCAAGTGCATGATAATCTTTATAAATTTAACTCGAAATAGAGATATTCGGGTTGAAATATAGAGATAGGTCCTATTTGACGCTCGAGAGGGGGAAATAGAGTTAACTTAGGATTCTTGCCTATGAATTCGGAAAATAATTAATGGAAATATCTGTAGGGGTTGAGAATTATGTTGATAATACGGTGAAATCACTCCCTAGACTTTACGAAATTCTGATTTAATTTTTAGAAATTGCCTCACTTTTCTTGCATTATTAAATTCATCGACATTAGTTTAACATTCAAACATCAATTTAACATCCAATTGTTTAGATAAAGTAAACGCGAACATAATTATAGTACTCAGCGGAAGTCGAATATCAATCCCTATGGGTTCGACACTTTTCAATTCCTTAATATACTACAAAACTTGACACCGTGCGCTTGCGGTATAAGATCACGTTATATAAAACACGTGGCAAGTTTTTGGCGCCGTTGCCGGGGATTGATTTATTCGAATTCAATTGAGATTATTACCAATCGGCGTTCATTTTACTTTAGATTTTTATTTTTACCGTGATTTTTATTTTACTCTTTTTGTGTCTATCTTTAAGAGCTTCCTTGTGGTTATTTTCAGTTGTTTATGCGAAGGGCGAGAAACCTAGTTCTACTGCCTGTTGATCCTGAACCAAAACGCACATTTCGCATTCTCAGAGGCATACAAAGAAATGAACGAAAAGTAATGACAGAACAGGATGTTAGAGCAGCCAATGAGGATAACCAACAAAGGGCTATTCGGGACTACATAAGGCCGGTTGTCAATGATAACTATTCCGGCATCGCACGCCCAGCAATTGCTGCAAACAATTTCGAATTGAAGTCAGGGTTGATACATATGGTGCAGCAAAATCAGTTTGGGGGTGCTGCAATAGAAGACCCAAATGCTCATCTTGGATCCTTTTTGGAAATTTGTGAAACGGTGAAGATGAATGGGGTTACTGAAGATACAATTAGACTCCGCCTATTCTCATTCTCTTTAAGGGATGAAGCAAAGGCTTGGTTCCAGTCACTACCGTATGGCTCAATTACAACTTGGGATGATTTGGCCCAGAAATTCCTCACCAAGTACTTTCCACCTTCTAAATCAGCTCAACTTCGTGGTGAAATTAGCCAATTCAAACAACTCGACTTCGAGCCATTCTATGAAGCCTGGGAAAGATTTAAAGACTTGCTTAGGAGATGTCCTCAACATGGATTCCAGAAATGGGTACAAATTGAGATATTTTATAATGGGCTAAATGGGCAGACAAGGACTATGGTAGATGCAGCTGCGGGAGGCATTTTAATGGCTAAAACAGCAGAGGTTGCATATGCTTTATTGGATGATATAGCCACCAACAGTTACCAATGTCCAAGTGAGAGATCGGGTGTAAAGAAAGGAGCAGGACTTCATAAAGTGGATCCCATCACCGCACTAGTTGCTCAGGTTGCATCACTCACAAACCAGATAGTCATGCTTACCACTCAAGAAAATCAACAGAAGGTAGATTCAATCATGAGTACTTCTTCATCACACCAAGAGACAGAGGTTGCAAATGAGCAGGCCCAATACGTCAACAGTAGAAACTACAATCAAAGAGGAAGCTACCAAGCTAATCACTATCATCCAGGGCTGAGGAATCATGAGAACTTGTCATATGGCAACAATAGAAACACACTTCAACCTCCACTCGTATTCAACACTCAGAATTCTGATGGGAAACCACCATTGGAAGACATCCTTGAGAAGTTCATTTCTGAGATAAGATCACGCTTCAACAAAGATGAATCACGGTTAGATAATATTGAAACACATGTGTCCAACATGGGAGCCACAATCAAGAATCTTGAAGTGCAAATTGGTCAATTAGCTACCTCAATGAAGTCTTAGCAAAGAGGTCAATCCAAAAGAGCACTGTAAAGCTATTGTATTAAGGAGTGGCAAGCAAGTTGAAGAAAGTGAACTTACTAAAGATAGCAACCCCACACCTGATAAGGAGAAAGAACAAGTAGTAGAAGAACAAGAAAAGCAGGCCAAAGAAATAAATAAGGCCCACAGACCTTACTCCATATTCTTTCCTGACAACCCACCAATTCTCACACCACCACTTCCATTTCCACAGCGTTTTCAAAAGAAAAATTTTGATAATCAATTTGCAAAATTTTTAGAAATCTTCAAGAAAATTCACATTAATATTCCTTTTGCAGATGCTTTGGAATAAATGCCAAATTACGCAAAGTTTATGAAGGAAGTGATGTCAAAGAAGCGAAAATTGGAGGAATATGAAATAGTAAAATTGATAGAAGAATGCAGCGCTATTCCTCAAAAGAAACTTCCTCAGAAGAGAAAAGATCCGGGCAGCTTTACTATTCCATGCATCATTGGAAGCTCTTCCTTTGAAAAGGCCCTCTGTGATCTAGGAGTAAGCATCAACCTAATGCCGTTATCAGTATTCAAGAAGTTAGGCCTCAGGGAGGTCAAGCCAACAACAGTGACTCTACAACTAGCTGATAGGTCCCTCACCTACCCACGAGGGATTATTGAAGACGTGTTGGTAAAGGTCGACAAATTCATCTTCCCAGCTGATTTTGTGGTATTGGATATGGAAGAAGATCAGGAAATCCCACTGATTTTAGGCAGGCCATTTTGAGCAATTGGAAGGGTATTAATTGATGTACAAGGAGGACAATTGATATTGAGAGTGAATGAAGAAGAGATGAGGTTCAACATTTACCAATCAATGAATTACTCAGATGACAATGACACTTGCCACAGGATTGACTTCATTGATTCTGCTGTGAGAGATGAGAAATTATGTATTAAAGATCCTCTAGAGCAATGTATGATGTTTAGTACAACAAGGATGATATTAGCACTTTTGGAGAGTACATAGGGAGCAAGGATTTGGTTGATTACATATTGGCTCTTGAGTCTACATCAGTTGTGGAAAACCCATCACACTGTGAGGATATTCAACAGTCAAAGGAAGTAGATGACAAAGAAATCAATAAAAGCAGTAAGATTGAACTGAAGCACTTACCAGATCACCTTCGCTATGCATTTTTGGACAATTCTGCATTTCCAATGATTATTTCTTCATCACTCACTAGAGACGAAGAAGATAGATTATTGAAAATGTTGAGGGATCATAAGGTTGCTTTGGGATGGTCGATAGCTGACATCAAAGGGATAAGTCCTACAATCTGCATGCATAAAATCCTCATGGAAGAGTCTTACAAGCCATCCATCGAACATCAAAGAAGGTTAAACCCAGCAATGAAAGAACTGGTTCGAGCGAAAATTCTAAAGCTATTGAAGGCAGGAATCATTTTTGCCATTTCAGACAGTAAATGGGTCAGCCCAGTGCAAGTGGTACCAAAGAAAGGAGGGATGACAGTAGTTAAGAGTGACAACAATGAGCTAATTCCAACAAGAACAGTAACTGGCTGGAGGGTGTGTATTGATTACAGGAAACTGAACAAGGTAACTAGAAAGGACCATTTCCCATTGTCGTTCATAGATCAAATGTTGGACAGATTAGCTGGCTATTCTTACTATAGCTTTCTTGATGGATATTCGGGCTACAACCAGATTGCTATAGCACCAGAAGATTAGGAAAAGACAACATTCACCTGTCCCTATGGAACTTTTTCCTACAGACGGATGCCATTCGGGTTATGCAATGCACCGGCCACTTTTCAGAGATGCATGATGGCAATCTTTGCAGACATGGTTGAAGAAATCATGGTATTTATGGATGACTTCTCGGTGTTTGGTACGTCTTTTGATAACTACCTTCACAATCTCTCCTTAGTGCTGCAACGCTGTGAGGAAAAGAATTTAGTTCTCAACTGGGAAAAGTGCCACTTCATGGTACAAGAAGGTATTGTGCTAGGCCACCAGTTTCGACGAGGGAATTGAAAGTGGACAGAGCAAAAATTGATATAATTGCAAAGCTACCACCACCCACTAATGTCAAAGGCATTCGAAGTTTCTTATGGCACGCTGGATTCTACAGGAGATTTATCAAAGACTTCTCAAAAGTGGCAAAACCCCTATGTAACCTTTTGGAGAAAGACACAACGTTCGTATTTGAGGAAGACTGCTTACGGGCTTTTGAAACCATAAAGGCAAAATTAGTCACTGCCCCAGTGATAGTAGTACCAGATTGGGATCAGCCATTTGAGGTTATGTGTGATGCTAGTGACTACGCAATAGGGGTAGTTTTGGGACAAAAGCGTGATAAGATTTTTCGGGCAATCCACTATGCCAGCAAAACACTTAATGGAGCTCAACTAAATTACACAACAACAGAGAAGGAAATGCTAGCAGTAGTGTTTGCATGTGACAAATTCAGATCTTACCTTATTGGCCACCAAAGTGATAATTTACACGGATTATGCTGCAATCCGTTATCTCTTTCAAAAGAAGGATGCCAAGCCACGCCTAATTCGATGGATATTGCTATTATAGGAATTTGATGTAGAGATTCGGGATAAGAAAGGCAATGAGAATGTCATTGCAGACCATCTCTCACGATTAGAGAATGAAAAGATGGTGGATGACAGTCAAATTCGAGAAATGTTCCCCGACGAGATCTTGCTAGCTGTATCAACAAAGATCCCATGGTATGCTGATTTTGTTAACTATTTTGTGTCTGAAAGATTGCCACCTGGCTTGACCTTTCATCAAAAGAAGAAATTCCTACATGATGTCAAGTCATATCTGTGGGATGATCCAATCTTATTCAAAAGGTGTGCTGATAGAATAATCAGGAGGTGTGTCCCTGTAGAAGAAACGCGATCAATCATGCAGCATTGCCATTCCTCACCTTATGAAGGTCATTTCAGTCCTACACGTACTGCTGCAAAGGTATTGCAATCTGGTTTCTATTGGCCAAATCTGTTCAAAGACTGCTATGCTTTTGTGAAGACATGTGATCGCTGTCAGTGCATTGGAAACATTTCAAGACATCATGAGCTACCATTAACCAGTATGCTTGAGGTGGAATTATTTGATGTGTGGGGTATTGATTTCATGGGTTCGTTTCCACCTTCCTTTGGTCAAGAGTATATTCTTCTCGTAGTGGATTATGTGTCTAAGTGGGTTGAAGTCATTGCCATACCAACAAATGATGCAAAGGTGGTGTTGAAATTTTTACAGAAAAATATCTTTACTTGATTTGGCATGCCTAGAGCAATCGTAAGCGACAAAGGTACACATTTCTGTAACAAGCTATTCAATTCTCTTCTAGCTAAGTATGATGTCAAGCACAAGTTGGCACTGGGTTATCATCCACAGTCAAATGGGCAAGTAGAGGTGTCTAACAGAGAGATTAAACAGATTTTGGAAAAGACAGTAAATACCAATAAGAAGGACTGGTCTCTCAAACTAGATGACGCTCTTTGGGCATACTCAACAACATTTAAAACTCCAATTGGAATGTCACCCTACCGTCTGGTATTCGGGAAAGCTTGTCATCTACCGGTAGAATTGGAGCATCGAGCTTATTGGGTTGTGAAGAAATTGAATTTAGACATGAAATTGGTCGGTCCACAACGCTTGTTGCAGCTTGATGAATTGGAGGAATTCCGGAACGATGCATATGAAAATGCAAAGATATATAAAGAACGGACAAAGATGTGGCATGACAAGAGAATACTAAAGAGGAATTTCAAGGCAGGAGAATCGGTTCTTCTATTCAATTCTCGCTTGAAACTCTTTCCAGACAAACTCAAATCCCGGTGGTCAGGACCATTTGTAATCCGTAAGGTGTTCCCTTATGGTGCAATGGAATTAGTAGGCAAGGATGGGTCTACCTTTCAGGCAAATGGGCAACGCCTCAAATATTACTATGGAGAGGAAAACTGGGATGTGGAAGAAATTACCCTTGATGAACCAACTTGAAACCACATCCACGTTCAGCTAAAGACGTAAAAGAAGCGCTTCTTGGGAGGCAACCCAAGCTTTATCCTTAAGTTTTCATAAAATTCATTTATTTCGATTTTCGTTATTTTACGTATTTATGTGATTTCATTTTCGTCTTGTTTTTATACGTACATACTCGAATTGGAAGCATGAACCAAGAAAGGAAATGGGGAAGGACCACGTTGAAAGACTACATGGAAGGTATTATATAAAAAAATAAAAATTCAAAAACTCAACGCCCAGGTACTGGACTCCCCAACCGGAGCAGAAAGTCAGCGCATAGGCGCTGTTTTTTAAAAAAAATATATATTTTTTTTGATTTTATATAAAAACCTACCTTCCTCCCCTAATTGAATTATTTTTTTTTCCTTCCCCTCCTCTCCCGTAACATTTGCTCCCTTCTACTCTTTCCCCATTTAAATTTTCTTTTGTAACACAATTAATACACTTTTCTTGCATTTCATACTCTACAATTAGTAAAGGGGCCACTTGCTTGATCTTTGGGATCACCATCTTTCCACTTGTAAGTCCTCAATACCTTCATTTTTTATTTTTTTTTGCACTTAAACTTCGTTTTTTTTTCTTTTTGGAAATGGGTGATTGATTGGGTATATTTGGATTCTTGGATGTTGGAGTTGTGGTGATTGAATTTCTGATGGGATAAATTTATTGCTGGGATAGTATGCAAAGTGTGATGGAATAACCTTGCTCCCAAGGTGTTTGATTAAATTCTTAGGAGAGTTTTTCTAGTTGTGGTAACCTCAAGTTAATTGCTGACTTTTGCACTTTGCTTAGGTTTGTTTATAATTCAGTATGCCTCCAAAGAGGGCTCGCAACACTACCTCTTCTTCCTCTGTTTCTTTTGACAGAGCCAAATTTATCAGTTAAGCAGCTGCGGAACGGTACAACACTTCGGTGGTGCACAAGAACTGTATTCAGGAGAGGGGTTTCGACAAATATAT